TCAATGTTGCTGCTGATCTGTTTCAATGTTGCTGCTGATCTGTTTCATGTTGATGTGTTCATGCGTTACCATCTGCTCACACAGACTCATGTTTGTGCTGCTGTTCGACATAATGTTTTATGTTATGAGTGCTTAGTGTATATTTAGTTGATGTTTTTCTTAGTTCATATCTTAGATGTTATTACTATTTTTCTTATACATTTTATTGATGGAAGTAACTGGGACCCTGTGTACATAATTTCGCTCCACCACATGTACCACATGAGGTGTGAATGACAATAAAGAATCTCTGACTCTGTGACACTGATCTGTGGTACCCCGAGCACTCACCATATGTAGGTGTCTTTATTTATATACATATACATGTGCATATGCATATGTTTAAATATGTATAAATATATGTATGCTTAGATGTGTATGTATGTATACATATACAGTATATTGGTTAATCATGAATGTAGTACTCCCTACAACTTGTGCATGTGCATATTGTCTTTCAAAATTTGTGTATTGTGAATGTTTTTTTGATAATTTCATGTGTCTTTTTCTGTATAATTAGAACTGGCTGCCTGAAATTTACCTCTGGGGATGGATGGATGGATAGATTTATTTTTGAAAAAAAGAAAACATAAAGAAACTGATCAATCTAACCAGGTTTAATCTAACTAAAACCTTGTTAGATTTATCTACCTGGATTATTGAGCATGCATCAGGACAAACTCTGATAAAGTTTTCAATGTCCACATATTTGTATGGTTTGCTCAGTTTATGTGTTTTTTAGTTAAGGAAAGCCCCACTTGAAGACAAGTGTTATATTTACAGAGAAGAATGTGTCTAAATTCGAGCCAAATGTTTCTTCACGGTTTTAACCTTTAGTCCCGTTGTGCTGAGTCACGTTGTCCACAACAAACACAAGTGTTGCAACAGTTCTGGTTGTTTTCTAGCAGAGTTCTTCAGAGCACAGAGGACCATGAAAACAGTCAAAACAACAACAAAACAAGAAAATATAATCAAAACATCAACAACAACAAAACACCAGCAAAACAATGGTAAAACAAAAACAAAACAGTGGTAAAACTACACCAAAATAACAGCAAAACAATGGTTAAAAAACAACAACAAAACAACAACAAAACAGTAAAACAACAACAAAACACAGCTCTCTGTTGTCGACGCACAGCCTGGATCTGGTTCTTATGGTGTTTATGGGACAAATATTTCTTCACTGTGGTAATCCCTGAACCCTGTTGAGAAATATCCCCCCCCACCCCCACCCCAGGCATTTTTATCCGACCCCTGAGAGTTACGGTTCTGATCCAGAGGAGATACCTGAGCTCTGAGCGTCATGAAGGTAAAATCTTTCACGTTCTAGGACTATTGGACATTTATCATAAAGGCTCCTTAGATAAATATTGCTATTAACTGATTTTTATGCATATGGATGTTTCTGTTCAGTGCCCTGAGACGACTTCTGTTGTGAATTGGCTCTATATAAATAAAGTGAATTGAAAGTTCTCCTGTTTGTTTCCAGCTGAACTCGACTGCTGCTCTTCTCTTTTCTCTGGCTTTTCTCTCACTGGTTCGGTGAGTTCTGTTCAGTTATTTTTACATTTGAATGCAGTTTAATGGTTGAATATTCAGATCAAACATGTAGCTCTGACCTGTGTGTTCACATAATGGACGTTTACAAGATTGTTTTGTGATTTTGTGTTTTCCTAGCAGCGATTGGAGTAAACATTTGTGTATTCATGTTGATTTCTCGTCCTGTTAGCTGTCAGAGGCCTGTGAACTGTAGGTGGGGATCGTGGGGAGGCTGGTCCGAGTGTGACGGCTGCACCCAGACCAAGGTACTGCAGCTGAGGCCGGTCTTACTGAAACATTAGTACTTCTGGCTGCTTGGAATGAAAGGATGATATTGTTTTTGTCTGTGCTTGTTTGGCCATTGATTTCAATGAAAGTCCCAGGAAGTAATCACTGGAAGAACATCTACAAGTAAACTTTTAGAGATTAAAGCTGGCCGCCACAGACTGACCTTGGAAAACACAGAAAAACTATAACAAACTACAATGAATTTTCCAGATATTCAGCTCATGTTTGGTGTGGTAGTAGCTGAGAGTTGTCCTTAACAAGTGCTCTGAGAACTAACAGATTGTACAAAATGCATCCATCCCTTATCTGGTTCTGGACTCAGGTCTCGTGGGGAGCATCAGATCAGGGAGGTCCAGCCACCTCTTTCTCCTCAGCCACCTCTTCCAGCTCTTCTGGGAGTACTCCAAAGTGTTCCCAGACTCTCAAAATCTTGTTGCTATCCTTCAGAATATCCATAACTGTTGTTACTTAGCTTCTCTGGATGTGGAGGAGCAGCAGTTCTACTCCAAGTCTCTCCTGGAGAACTGAGCTTCTCACCCGATCTCTAAGGGAGAGTCCAGCTACCCTGCAGAGAAAACTCATTTAGACCTCCTGGATCCAGGATCTGGCTCTTCCAGTCTCTACATAGAGCTTAGAACCACAGGTCAGGGTAGGAATGTAGACCGAGCAGGAAACAATTCATCCATCCATTTTCTTTACCCGCTTGTTCCATTTTGGGTCATGGGGGTCGCCGGTGCCCATGTCCAGCAATCACTGTGCGAGGGGCGGGGTACACCCTGGACGGGTCTCCAGTCCATCACAGGGACACATAGAGACAAACGAGACAAACAACTATTCACTCTCACACTCACACCTAGGGACAATTTAGAGTTCCCAATCAGCCTAACATGCATGTTTTTGGTCTGTGGGAGGAAACCGGAGTACCCGGAGAAAACCCACGCATGCACGGAGAGAACATGCAAACTCCACCCAGAAAGGCCCCTGGACCGGGGTTTGAACCAGGGACCTGCTCGCTGAGAGGCAGCAGCTCTACCAGTTGTGCCACCGTGCTGCCCGGAAACAATTCAAATCAATTCAATTTATTTATATAGCACCATTTCACAACAAAGTTGTTTCAGGGCACTCTGCAGAAACATTCACATGCATAAAAAAGCCAATTAGTAAAGTTCTCAATCTAAGGAATCCAGCAGACTCATTCAATCTTCATTTTATCACAATCTCTCATCCTGAGCAAGCAAAAAGGCAACAGTGGAAAGGAAAAACTCCCTTTTAAAAGAAAGAAACCTCCAGTAGAACCAGGACAATCAGCCATCTGCTTCGACTGGCTGGGTATGAGAGGACAGGAAGAAGAGGCAAACGGACACAGACTGGCAGGTCCAGATGTAGGTGCAGAGACAGAAACAGAAAGCTCCTCCTTACAGCTCAGCTCCCTCTTCACCACATTGGACCGGCACAGAGTCCATAACTGCAGAAACTGCACTGGTCTGTCTGTGGATGTCACTCTCCATTCTTCATTCACTGTGAACAAAACCACAGATACTTGAACTCCAACACCTGAGGAAGAACCTCACTTCAGTAAAGTCCAGCCAGTAAAAAAAAAAAGAATATAAACTGTTTTTGAATTTAGTTACATTCACTATCATTTAATTGGATTCCCTTCAGTACGATCCTGTTCAGTTTATTTTAACTCAGCCAAGATCAATTGTAATTTAGTTCAAAGCAGTCACATTCAAATATAATTATATTCTGACCCACTCAATTGATTTCAGTAGATCTTTACATGTCTGTGCTTCCCTTTCAGGTGCAGACTCGACACGTGGATGTGTTTGCTCAGTTTGGTGGGACGCCATGCTCGGGAGAAGCCACCCAAACACAGCCATGTGTCCCTCAGAAGACATGTCCCATTCAAATGGGCTGTGGGGGCAGATTCCGCTGCACCTCCGGTATGCTGCACTAATCAGTAATGTTACTCACAGCATACAAATATAATATATAACAGTGTTTACCCAATCCTGTTCTAGGTCGGTGTATTAGCCAATCTCTAGTGTGTAACGGAGACCAGGACTGTGAGGATGGTATGGATGAACGAAACTGCGACCAAGACAGTAGCCAGTATTCATGTGATAGTGTCAAAACACCTCCCAACTCTGACTTTACAGGAAAAGGGTATGTAGTTTTAAGAGTCATCCAATTCAACATGTTTGCTGCAGCTTGGGGACCTCATCCCCATCATATCCTCTAAGCACTATCATATTGCATGAGGTCTTTCTTTAAAACTTTAGCGTGCAAGGTGGTGGCAATAGGCATTCCTTCAAGAAATGATATCTGCTTGTGAATCAGGACACTGTTAAGAGAAACACTTGCTACTGTAGGCAAAAGTCCTTAAAAGCCTTTTGTGCCTTTTCTTCCAGATATGACATGCTAATGGGTAAACTTAAAGCAGGTGTGATCAACACAATGAGCTTTGGAGGACAGTGCAGGAAGATCTTCAGCGGAGACCATAAAGTGATGTTCAGACTTCCACAGAACATCCTCAGGTACAGCTTTGAGGTGAGTCAATGGATCAATGGCAAGCAAAAGGAACTGAGGTGAAGAAACAGCCTTTCAACACTGTGGTCTTTGAATACATGTAGGATGAGTAATCAAGTACTCAACAGAGTCTCAGTAGTTGCATATAAGATGAAAGTCATTTCTGAACTGTGTTGTCTTTGGTGTCTATAGGTACAAGTTGACAATGAAGAAAGCGATGAGTCCTATGAGAGTGCTTGGGCCTATGTTCAGCACATCCAGTCCAGTGCTTTGATGGGACATGACCGCCGTTCATTTCATAAAGAAGTCACTGACAATAAGGTAGCCAGCTTTTTTTAAAAACACTTTTGGAAGTTAAAGTCAGCTTTGGTTACTAGTGTTACATTTATCCCAAGATTCTGAGTAGCACATTGGATCCAAGTCCGATGTGATATTCCCTTTTCCCTTTCCCTTTTCTTGAAAGGGATCCATTCAAGAAGCCAGGTTCAATAATATAGTAGCTAGTTTAAACATTTCATGATCCCCTTACATCCCACATAGTTAAGGGACGCCAAACCCTTGCCATAGATATACTCTTAGAGGTATAGGATTTTAAGTGATAGGGAACGAGGTGACATATGACCAGGTTAAAAATTTTAAGAGATTTAGGCCCAAGACTGGTCTAAGACCTGAAGTGGTATTACGTCCCAAGTCCCAAAACTTCTCAAATTCTTTGAGACCAAATGAAATGTAGCCTAACTTCTCTTTTTGTCATTCAGGCCTACAGACTTATAATCTTGAAGAATAAAGTGGAGCTTGCCCAGTTTCAAAACTCTGCCCCAGAGTATCTGACTTTGTCTGAAGGTTTCTGGAAGGCTCTGTCCTTGCTACCCCTCTCATATGACTACTCGGCCTACCGTCAGGTGCTACAAACCTACGGCACACATTACTTCTCAGAGGGTTCACTTGGAGGTGAATACCAGGGCTTGTTGGAGTTGGACAATCTGGCACACTCATCTCAGAGTAAGAACTTTCAATATAAACATAATAATAACAATAATACTTATATACTTTCAATAACTTCCACTTTGGTCAGGATTGCTTCAGACTAGTTTGAGAGTTTGAGCAGGCAGCAGAGAAGAGGGTGAACTATAGAAGCCACTTGAGCACCAGCAAACAGGTTGATCCACTATGAGAAGGTGATAGCTCCTCAAACTTCTGGATAAAAGGCAAAATGTTTCAACAAAAGAAACCATCCAGAGGACCTAACTTAACTTTGTTAGATTTTTCTACCTGGATAATTGAGAATGCATCAGGACACTTTCAATATGAATATTATCATTGTTTTAATTTTGGTTGATCCCTCTTGGCACCCAGATGCAGGGTATCTGAACATCAGGTGGATTTTCCCCTCTGGATTAGGGATGGGGTGACTTTCCCTCAGGTGGAGGAGCTCAGGGTATCTATGTGTCTTGTATCTTGAGTGATGGGAGGCTGGGAGAATGGGAAGATCAATGGATTGGGGTCTTGTCCTCAGTAATGAGGACATTGTTTTTGTCTGTTGTGGTTAAGAAGGAGCTGAGCTAAAATACAAAGCTCTGTTCCAACATCACCTGTGGTCATGAGGTATATATATTATGACCAAAAGAACAAGATACCAAACACAAGTGGCAGAAATAAGCTTCCTTCGTAGGGTGGCCGGGCTCAGCCTTAGAGAAAGAGTGAGGAGCTTGGAGTGAAGCCAATGCTCCACTGCATCATGGATCAGGATGCCTCCTGGATGGCTCCCTTTGGAGGTTTTTCAGACATAACCCAGTGAAGAGGTCCCGGGGCAGACCCAGAACTTGCTGGAGGAATTATGTATCCTGTCTGGCCTGGGAACACCTTGAGGTACCCCATGAGGAGCTGGAGAGTGTTGTTAGGGAATGGGAGGTCTGGATTTCTCCTTGGACTTTATCCTCCTTGACATATATGTTATATAAGATGGAGATGCCCCCTCCTTCACTGTCTCCAATGTCAGTTTACTTGGATGAAAGGTTTGGCAGCAGTTTTATGTTGGATGACTTTACTGATACAGCCTGGGCTTGAACCTGCACTCACAGGACAATGGAACATTGCACTGACCACCAAGCCACCGCAGCCCATATGAACAGTGCTACTATGAATAAGAAATCTTCACATGCCAACTAATCTTGAGTAATCTAAAAGGTACATCAATGTGCTTAAAAACAAAACAAATGGACTTCCTTTTCATTTTCAAAAACAAGTTTGGACATACTGTTTGTCTTCTTTTCTGCAAATGAAAGTCTTTATTGTTTTTCTCTTCTTATTTGTTTAAAGGTCTAACAGATATCGAGTACCAGAGGTGCTGGAAAAAGGTGAAGCGCTTTCTCTTTTTCAAGAAAACCAAAATCACCTGTGAA